TTATGGTTATATGGGGTCATGGTCTCCAATTTGTTGTGTTCATCTAGATTTTCTGCATCCCCATCAACAGAGATTGAAATTGAAAAAAAGATCACAAATCAAATTGGAAGATCATAACTCATTCAAGCAAACAATCAAACATATGGATCAATATACGCTTCCGCTTTTAGTTCACATTGATTTTAACGTGGATGATTTGTATGTGTAAAAGGGTTTGTGAATTTTTTGGGTTTGATAATCTTTTGGATCGATAATCCCTTTTTATTTTCTATCAAGTAGTATTAGGGTATCTCCATTGTTGAATCTTTGAGAAATTGAAGTTTTTGAAATTTTGAATTTTTTGAATTATATGATCTTCATGTTATTTTTTTGAAATCAAGCATGTTATTATGGATTTAAGCAAGTTATTATAAGGATTTCAGAATAATTAAGGATTTTCTTCACAAATTAGGATTTTTATGGATATAGATTTTCAAATCTAAAAAAAAATGAGTGGTTGCCGCCGACGGGGACCACTACGGCAACAGCATTGCCACGCTACTGTGGGTGGCACCAGCCACTCTTCAGGTCACAGTAGCGTGGGATCGCTGTTGTAACCAGCATCGTCCCCGACGCTGTTGGGTGGCACCGACCGGGGAGGTGCTCTCCTGCATCTTCCTCGGCCACTTGGGGCCTTAGTGGCACCGCCGCTAACGATGAAGGAAGAAGAGTGGTTCTTCATTAAAGTATTTTTCCAATTATGGATTAATTAAAACTTCAGTTTTGAAATTTTTTGGGGCGGGGGCTTGTCTGCAAATTTGAAGTTTTGGGATCCCTGCTTGCAATTAAATATTAGGGTTGGGGTTTAGTTATTTATTATTCAGCCCTTAAAGTTTAAAGTTAATCCTAATTGTGCCGTAAGGTTATGAATTTAAATATTTCAGCCCCTAAAGTTAAAAATTTATTTAAGTTAGGTCTTAATGTTATGGGATTATATAAATTCAGTCTCTGGAATTTTAAAATTAATTAATTTGGGCTATTTTAGTTCTACATTTTGCAATTAAAGCTCTCAAAGTTTCTAATTTTATTCTAATTGGTCCCAAAAAGGTTTTAAATTTTAAATTTTACCTCCTAAAGTTTAAAATTAATTAATTTGACCCCTAAAGTTTTGAATAATTATTTTTGGGTCTTTAAAGTTTTGGATAATTAATTTTT